ACTATCAGCTCTTATGTTCCAAACGTGATATCAAACTCAATTTTTCTCTCGCCAATTGGTGAACAAGAGGTTACCACCTTATTACTAGCATTAAAGAATAACACCTCAGCTGGTCAGGATGATCTTAAAGCAGCACCAATTAAGGCAATCTCGTACCTCATAAGAGCTCCTCTGGCACACATTTGCAATATTTCTTAATCTAGAGGAATTTTTCCTGATAGGATGAAAATCGCTAGAGTTTGTGTTTTACATAAAGGTGGGCCAAAGCATGATATGAACAATTATAGGCCAATATCGGTGCTACCGCTTTTTTCAAAAATCTTAGAACAAGAAATAAATAGCAAATTCATTTGTTACCTAGAGAAGAATTTAATTGCAAAACAGCAGTACGGCCTTCAAAAACGCAAGTCTACCGAAATGGCCTTATTAAACGTAAAAAATAAATTATTTGATGCTTTTGAAAACAAGTTATATACAATTGGAATTTTCTTGGATTTTAGAAAGGCTTTTGATTCTATTAAACCCGATGTTCTTTTTGAAATACTACCATTATATGGTATAAGAGGTATCTCACTAGACTTGATACGTAATTATTTATCTAATCGTTTACAGTATACACTCGTTAATGGTTTTCAATCAGAGCTGAAGCAAATATATTACGGTGTTCCTCAAGGGTCAATATTAGGGCCATTACTTTTTATCTTGTACATAAATGACCTAATCAACATACCAGCAACTCCAAATATTATTCTATATGCCGATGGCACTAACGTTTTTTTCACCGACAAAAGCCTAGAAAAACTTGAAAACTCGGCGAACGCTTGGCTGCACCAATTGTCACTATGGCTACAATTAAATCAAATAGAGCTGAACATAGGTAAAACAAAATACATCATCTTCAAGCCTAGAAATAAGGAGATGACCAGCACTGTGACTATAAAATTTCTAAATTCAATAATAGAGCAAGTACCTTCGCACAAGTTTTTGGGGGTTTGGTTTGACGAAACATTAAATTGGACGCGCCATGTAAATCATGTGCGCTCTAAAATATCTAGTTCAGTTGGCATTCTGAATAGAGTCAAGTTTCTTCTTCCCAGCTGGCTTATGTGCCAACTTTATTACAGCCTTATAAACTCACATCTTAATTACTGTCTTTTAGTGTGGGGTTCAACCACAAAAACCAACCTTGATAAAATCATTACCATTAAAAAAAAGCTGTACGCACCATTGAAAGTTTATCATCTAAAGAGCATACAGCCCCTTATTTTTTGAAATATCGTATACTGCGTATTGATCAGCTTTTCAATGTCAAGATTACGGTAGAAATATATAAACAAATTAGTAGTGACCAGGCGGCATTCTACGAGCTCTATCAACGTAAAAGTAGACCTTATAATCTCAGGGACCAAAATTAGATGACACCGAAATCTCGAACTAATTACGGTTTACAAAGATTAGCACATCAAGTTCCTGAATTTTTAAATAAGTATTTGGAAATTGAAGAAATAGTTAAAGATGCTGTATCGTCTTATAGCTTTAAAAAGAGTGTGAAAGCTTAGTTCTTGTTGAATTTCGGCCAGTGTTTTTTCCACTATTGTTGATTGTACGGTTGTGACGTGGACGGTATGACGTGTGTTCATGTGAATGGATTATTACTTTTGACTTGGATGGTACCCGAGTGATATGTGTATTTATATTACTTCTAGAGCTAACATTTTAGACTTTGTCCTATCATTGTCTAAATGCTGTTAAATTTGTTTTCTTATTTTTTTTTTTTTATTCCCCTCCGCTGCTGAACGATGTACACGGCTAGTGGAGCCTTGTCGGGCGGCGTTAGATTCGCCTTTTGCCCCACCAGTCAAGACTACTGAGTATGAATAAAGTTTATTATTATTTATTTATGAATCACAACACGGAGCTAAGGGTGATATACCAAAGAGTATCGGAAAGGACGTCAAAATCACTCCACTGCCCAAGAACATGCACCCGGAATACCATAAGGAGAGACGGGAGGCAAGAGCTCGCAACATCCAACGAAGATACCAAAACGTCGAGGACGTGGTTTATGTAGATGCCGCAGAATACCGAAATTGCAGGGGCATGCCCATCGTAGTGGTAGGCGCGGACAGGGAGCCCTTCGTAAGCGGGACCCTGGTGACGGACAACCCCGCGACAACGTAGGAGGCGGCCATCACACTAGTGGTGGCCTCCACCAAAGCTAAAATTATTATATATAAGCGACTCAAAGATCACCATCCAAAATTTCGCAGAGGAGCGCATCTCATCAGAGGCGCTCAAAATTTTAAGAATGTGCGGTGACTATCGTCAACAGCGGCGAGCGGGACGATCCAAATCATTTGGGCCAGCGCACGCTCCTCGCTCCCAGACAAGGAGGCCGCTCACACGGCAGCTCGGGATCTTTCACGCCGAGCCAGTGAGCCCGCCCAACCGGGAACGCGAGGAGACCGCATGTTCACATATCGAGAAATTACGAATCACTATCGGCTGGGACGGAAGAAGCAGGCAGTAACCTGGCGCCTCCTCCAAACCAACATGTACCCGAACCCGGCGGCCTCTCGCCGGTTCTACCCGGTACAATTTGAAAATACGTGTAAAATCTGTAAGAAGAAGGCGGATCTGCCAAGTATCTTAAGGGCATGCTCTCGGGCGGACTTGCCCAGACCCACAGGATCAGGTCTGGGCAAGTCGTTTGCTTCTTCCGCAGGGGTTGGGGTGACATCAGAACGACGTCGAGTTCCGATTGGCTTTGATTAGTACGATAATGGGTGGGCCTGATTGCTAGATGCCTTGAGGTCTCACTATATTTTTTCAATCAAGCAATAAGAGCTGGGCGTTCTGATATCATCGCAACCCCTGTGCAGAAGAACTTGATGCGTCGGATTGAGACGTTTTATATTAAAAAGAGAGATGACAATTGCGTTAGCGTGCCATCTATTTATTTACTTTAAAAAAATACGCAGTGACGTCTCTGGATGGATGTTTGTAGGAGTAGTGATTGGCTCCGAATCTGGTTGGCACAGGAGTGTGTATGTACAGGGTGTCACAAACGAAAATTTACACTGTCTTTTTTACCCCCAAAATAAACTAGGCATCGCTGAACGCTCATTCTCCGCCCAAAGGTAGAGCTAGAGGTCACAACCAGATGCCAAAGTTTCAGCCCGATCCGATAGCTTGATCAAAAGTTATAAGTGATTTTCTGAAAATTTCAATGCTCCTTATCCAAAGAGAAAAAAAAAATCACGAGGAAGCGATCGAGGAAGCAATCATATTTATTGCACATATTACGAACTTGTTGCGCAAACATCCGCTTTCATTTGCACGTTATCTTTCGAGTATAATCTCCAAAAATATCCCAACTGCGACTTGACAGAAAAAAACTTCGGCAAATGCTTTGGGTATGCCACAAACACGCAGGATTAGAATCACTACATAAGCTACGTTTCAGAGTAACGACACTTACTCATCTTGGGGTTAAAAATATAGCTGCCATATATCTGCAGCTCTGTTTTATAGTAGAAAAAACTATTTTTCGTCTTCCAGAAATGTTTAAACAGTTTGCGACAGAGCAAAGCAATATTATATGATCTTTCTACCATAGAACTTAATGCAGAGGAGGTCGCTCTTTGGAATCATGACAATCGGCAGTTGCGTTTGCTCGGCACTAAGCACCGAGATGGCGCCGCCCACAACAATACCTGGGAACACAGTGCCAGTACACTAAGCGTAGCTCAGTTAGTGGCTCTACGCAGGACAAAGAAAATATAAAAAAATCACAGCAACAAACATGGGCAACCAAGATACCCAAAGTATCCTTTTCCAATAGGACCAGACGAACGACCTGTAAGGTTTTCCAGGCTACATTTGATTTCCTCAAAGCTGCGGACGTCTGATCGCGAGTCACGCCCTGACACCCAGGCCATCGCCCTCGACTTCGTCCTCTCAATCACTCAGATTTTTTTTTTTCTCCACAAGCGGTACAAGAAATATAACCCCGCATTGAGAGGCTAACCTCTCGTTCCGCATTTCTTTTCTTTTCACTTTATTTTCTCAATAAACCCACTAACTCAAACACCGAACACTGAACCTTTTTAATTCTGAGGTGAAGTCGCAGGCGACGAAAAATAACAGCGGCCAAGGTCTTCCGGGCTTACAACTTCTACCAAGTCACCTAAGCAGCGTGGTAGGCGTCAGCGGTGCCGGGCCACACGTTATGGAAAGACACATTGTTCCTATCGTCAGGCGCTCGTCACTTACTCGAGGTGCGCGAGAAAGATGTGGGCAGGTAACCGCTGATAGTTCGTGAAAGTAGCGCCGAAAAAGGAGCTGGAAGGGCACACGGGCTGATCCAGCTTCGACGCTAGGGAGGCCTGAGTTAGACTGGGTTTTGAGTGAAGCGTCTGCAGGATGCACGAAGGGGCACCAGAGGGGCCATCCTTAATGTCCGTCTCGAAAAGGTGCCTACCGCATACTGTTGCGCGGCTGGAGACGAAATTGGGGAGCAGTACTTCCTCGAAATTATTTTCAACCATTTTCCATGGTCCCAGGTGCAGCTTTGCGCCTAATAAAATGACAGCCCCGGCAGGTTCTTGCCCACAGCAACCGCAACAAATGCCAAAAACAGCACTAAGAATACAAGGCACGAGAAAGGCTTATTCAAGTCGTTGAAATCTTCTGTCTTGTATAGGTTAGCGACGCGCCCTCGTTGTGATAGCTGGCAACCGGCGATTCGACAGGCATTATCAGTATACCGGAGGTTATGGCAAACACATGAGACACTTTTTTAGGCAGCTGGCACACTAAGGTTGTCTAGACCTATATCCTGTGGAGAAAATCTGGCTTTTGAATACGCATTTGAAGAAAAAAAAACTTTATATGTTTCAGGCATGAGTCCTGGTTTTCTCTACTGCAACTTTGTTGAAGCATTGGCTTTGAAAAACTCTCTTAGAAATAGGCCTCATCCTTCGGTTTTACGTTCACTGTCACTGCAGATATTCCCTGAAGTCGTACCCGAACCTCTCAAAATCAAAGAAGAACCGCTCATATAAACGCATCACCTGATTGAAAGTGAGCTCTTTAAAAAAGTCTCGGGCGGACTTGCGGAATAACCCGCAGTCGCTACCCTTGTTTTTCTGCGGAATGTCTCCCGGCCGAACACCCAGCGCTTCAAAGAACAGCGCAAAGTCCCTGCTTGCTGTCTCCAGCTTTCCGACGACCTCGTACTTGACTGTACAAGGCTGGCACGTCACGTAATACGGAGCCCAATGAGAGTTCATCTGGTTCACTGTCTGATTCAGTACGTAATCAATGAACTCTGGGAAGGTCAAGTTCCGGCCCGTCGCCCTGACGCCAGGTACGTCGTTCCAGTACCGGTTGTAAAAATAGACAATGCGAGTACGTGGGCCCAGCGCCTTGTCCGTGTAAGCGGATACTAGCCTCTCGAAGGGATGCCTCACGAACATGGCGGTTGTGTAGTGCTCCTCGTTGCTTCTTTGTAGGAACGTCATGGGTGAGACTGTGCGGACCTGCTCATGAAATGCCCTGTGTAAGCTGTCTCTTGTGTTTGCCATGTTGCTGATGTTGAGGAGGAGGCCGAAGATGGTCTTAACTGTGGTGGATGCAACCTTGTTGATGAAGCAGAAGCCGATTTTCCTTGCGGGGTCGATTATGATGGGACATCTTCGGATCTGGCAGATGTTTGACCGTTCGTAGCCGATGTTGCTCTTCAGGACACGTCTGTTGTGATCCGCCAGGGCCATCTTGTATTTGCGACACACTTCGTTGATTCTTCGTGCTCTGAACGCGGAGTCATCGTCGCTACGTCTGGAAGTCTGCGCTAACAAAATTAAAGAACGGGAAATTAACAATACACACGGGAAGTGCAAAACGGTTCTCGTCGCAGATGGTATACACTGCGGATTACGGGACTTGCGTGCTCGAAGCTCCTGCACGCAAGCATGCTCGAAGATTCCCCGCGAGCTCTTCTGTCAACGCACAGCTCTTGCGTACTATCTAGGAAAAGTCCTTATTATCGAGAACTTATTGTAAGGTCGAATGTATCCACGACGGTTTCATTCACGCTTTTAGACAACGAGAGCTGATATTTTCTAGAATAGCGAACAAAACGAAATATAACTATATTTTTCCTTCCCTTAGTGACAAACGTGAAATCCAAAAACGGCCAACGCAAGGTTCATTCAAAAAAGTTTCGTCAAGAGTACACTTAAACGATAGGCTGAAAAATTGGAGTCGTAATGACCACTAGTGTCATGGACAGGATGGGAAAGGCAGGGCGTTTCTTCGGGTGCCCGGTCACCAGCACGCGCCCGTTGCCTTCCACCGTGTTTTGACGCGGGAGCATTATTGAAGGCAGCAAGTTCTCTGGGGAGGCGGGACAATTGAGGAACCTCCTTGCCGTTCTCATTCTCTCAGTGACCATAGCAACAACACTGAGTATTACCTGGTCTCTGGTCGTGCCGCAGGATGCTGGCGTTGGGCAAGAAGGTGGTCGTCGTAGCCAGTTATAATATACCAGCGAGGCAACAATTGCTGCGCACAAAACAGCCAAGGCTATTTTGCCGACTGTACAAGACGACTTCTTAGACATGGGTGTACACTCTAGGGCACTGTCAGCTTACGGGGGCTGTCCCGGACGAAAGGTAGAACGAATAGACGAAGAATAGTGCGCATAGCGTGTAGGGCTGCAACAGATGGATTTTTTATTTTTACTCTTCAAATGCTCACAGCTGTACGAATCATGTGCTACATTGCTCAATTGAGCCCGCCACCTTTTGCGAAACGCCTGTACGAAGGGAAAGGAAGGATGGGGATAATCAACGATGCGGAGGGGCTTAGAGTTGTAAACAGGAAGTCAGACATCGGCACCCGGGCCTCGGTTGCCGCCATGTTGTACGAAAACGTGACTACTCGGCACGTGACTTCACACGAGCCTGACGTCACCGGTAAGATGGCAGCGCCGAGAGCTGGTGGATACAAGTTAGTTCTGTGCGCCGTAATCGTGATTTCGGACTTCTCCACAATTTTATTTGACGTACTGTCATTGCAGTAGCTTGCGTTTGATCAAATAATTTTTCTGTGTGTGTGAAAAGCTGGTGCTGGTGCTCGCTTTAGTGATGTGCACGCGAACTGTTACAAAAAATGCGAACCAATCTTATAAGAATAGTGAATTTCTAACGTTCACAAAAAAGTTCATTTTTTTCCCTTGGAACTTACAAGACCGAAACTCTTGATATTTTTGTTTGGGCAGTGCAAAATTTTCTGCAAAACTTTCTTTGCGCGGTCCTGCTCCCCAGTGGCTGAGACGCGCAACACAAGTACGCCCTACTTCCCTCCATTCTACGAAGGAGGCGAGGAGGTGGCTTCGCGCCGCGAGCACCAGGGAGCAATATCGCGGGCGCGTAGATGCGCTTTGATAAGAAACCGAAATCTAGAAACGCGTCCATATGGAGCGTTTTTACAGAACGCTGTAAAATGCTGCCCCGGTGTTATATCCTTCCAGAAATAGTTGATTAAGTGGTTTTCGATGATGCTCTACAAGTTTCTAATTGAAACCATATGTCAATTTCCACTAATTAAAAAGTTAATTAACGAATTTTAATTAATTAGCCGACTTATCGTAAAGATTAGCCACCCACATACTGTCCGCCTGGCCGTAAAACCAACCTGCACAAACCGCATTAGTGTAGCTTTCACGTTTTTTTTTTTAAACAAATGTGGAAGAATAAAAAAAAACACCCTGTATTTATGCACACAGACAGTATTTGTAACCCCGCTCATACCGTCAGAATTAACTGTCGACTCTCGGAGAGGCTTACCTAATGGTGCCTGATAGACCATCAAACATTTCTTGATGGAGGCTGATGGACCATTAAGGTCTTCTGTTTGTAGCTCAGAGACCTTCAAAACGTTTGTTGTGTCGACTGACGGACCATCGAAACAGTTTGATGTTGCCCGGTGAGACCATCAGGATATCTCGATAGACCACCGGAACGAAAAAAGGCTGATGGTGCTTCTCATGACATCTTTCGGTGATGGAAAGAACCTGACTATGTTCGGGAGGTTTCAGCAGTGGCCGAGAAAAGACGTCAATGATCTCACGTCGTTGCGCATGCGTGAATTACATTCGGTGTGTAAAGCCGTGAGCTGCGTGGCTCGATAACAGTGTGTTGAATCCGTAATAATCCGCGTCAACAATTGTCCTAGGATACTCGAAAAGTAACGGACACACCTTCTTATAAACTCAGGTATGTTTTTGCAACCATATAATTCTGTTTGAAATTATTTTATCGTGCGTTGGTGAAACAATTTGTTGATCCGCTTTGTATATCAAGTAGATCATGTTTACGATCTAAGTGGCACAGAATGTGCCGAAAAACGCACTTTGCTTGACAGGAAATTTATTTACTAGGTGCACGTGTACTGTAAACCAAATGTTCGCGTAAAAAAAAACAAAAAAAAAGTTTACAAAGCCGCGAATGCGGTAATACGAGTCTTACTGCATTCTCAAACCGACGAGGCTTAGTGTACTGTACGCTGTCGCACGACGCCGTCATGTCCAGCATGGATGATGGGGACAGTGTAGATAGCCATGCAACGGACACCGATAAAGTTGCTGCGCATCGTGGAGTCTCGAAAGTACTGAGTGGATTAAACGCATTTTTTCTTCCATTTTGTTTTTGCGGTTTAATAATTCAACGTTAAATTATTTCCAAATAGAAATAATAACATCCCATATTCTGAATACAAATTTTGCTTTCAGGTTTTCATGGGGATTTCGGAGGGTACCCTAACGCTTCGGATGTTCCTTTTTAAAATAATAATGCGCACAGAAGAGTTCACAAATGATTGTAACAGACTCTTAGTCTTCTGCCGGTAAATAAGTGTGATTAGAAATTCATACCGACAAACAGACCATCAAACCATCACACCATGAAACCATCAATGTCTCAAAATTCGACAGACCATTAAACCATCACACCTTCAAGCAATCAAAACATCACACCACCAGGCCATCAAGCCACGACACGATCAGGCAGACCATCACTGTCCCAAAAGACGACAGACTATCAGCCTGATAAACCACCAGGATTTTCCCTGACGGTATTTTCGATAGGGATAGGTAGGCTGATCCAGCTTCGACGCTAGGGAGGCCTGAGTTAAGCTGCGACTTGAGTGAAGCCTCAGCAGGATGCACCGAGGGAGACCAGAGAGGCCATCCTTAATGTCTGTCTCGAAGTTCTGCCTACCAAACACTGTTGAGTGGCAGGAGATAGAATTGGGTTACAGTCTCTCCCCGAAATGAGCTTCAGTCGGTTTTCATGGTCCCAGGTGTAGCTTAAGCGGTAATTTAATTACAGCCCCGAAAGGTTCTATCCCACAGCAACCATGACAAATGCCAAAAAGAGCACAAAGAATTCAACGCACGAAAGAGGCTTATTCACGTCGTACACATTTTCTGTCTTGTATGGGGAAGCGGCGCGCCTTTGGGGTGATATGTGGCAACCGGTGATTGGGCAGACATTATCAGTAAACAGAAAGTTATGAGTCAATACATGAGACACTATTTTTAGGCTGCCGGCACACTCAGGTTGTCTAGACGCATATATTATTCAGTAAATCTTACTTTTGAATACGCATTTAACGAAAAATAATTTATAGGTTTCAGGCATAGGTTCTTGTTTTCTCTACAGCAGATTTGCTGAAGCACTGGCTGAGAAGAACTCTCTTTAAGTTGGCCTTATCCTTTGGTTTCCCATACACTGTCAGTGCAAATAGTCCCTGAAGCCATATCCGAACATCTCGAGATCGAAGAAGAACCGCTCATATAAACGCATCACCTGATGTAAAGTGAGCTCCTTAAAAAACTCTCGGGCAGATTTGCGGAACCCGTGGTCGACACCCTTGTTTTTCTGTGGAATGTCCCCCGGCCGAGCACCCAACGCTCGAAAGAACAGCGCAAAGTCTCTGCTTGCTGTTTCCAGCTTTCCGACGACCACGTACTTGACGGTACAAGGCTGACACGTCACGTAGTACGGAGCCCAATGAGGGTTCATCTGGTTCACTGTCTGATTCAGTACGTAGTCGATGAACTCCGGGAAGGTCAAGTTCCGGCCCGTTGCCTTGACGTTAGGGACGTCGTTCCAGTATCGGTTGTAATAATAGACATTGCCAGCACGTGGGCATAGCGCCTTGTCCACGTAAGCGGATACTAGCCTCTCGAAAGGATGCCTGACGAACATGGCGGTTGTATAGCGCTCCTGGCTGCTCCTCTGTAGAAACGTCTTGTGTGAGACTGTGAGGACTTGCTCAAGAAAGGCCTTGTGTAAGCTGTTAACTGTGTTTCCCGTGTTGCTGATGTGTAGCAGGAGCCCGAAAATGGACTTGACTGTGGTGGATGCAACCTTGTTTATGAAGCAGTAGCCGACTTTGTGTGCAGGGTCGATCATAATAGGACAGTCTCGCATCGGGCAGAGGTGGGGCCGTTCGTCGCTGATGTTGCGCTTCAAAATGCGTCTGTTGTGATCCGCCAGGGCCACCTGGTACGTGCGACACACTTTGTTGATTCTTTCTGCTCTGAACGCGAAGTCATCGTCGCTGAGCCTGGAAGTCTGCGCAAACAAAAATTAAAAAAAACACGAAATTAACAATAGACAGGAAAAGTGCAAAACTGTACTCGTCGAAGCTTGTATACACAGCTGATATCTATAATTATTTGTTGGATCGCGTTTGCCGAGCTCCGCCTATGCACAGAAATGTGGCGACGGTCGGCCATATTTTTGGTAGGGTTATATTATCTCTAACCATCATAGTATTATGGCTTACGGCGTTGTGGCGGCAGTCTGCCATAAAAATAGCCGTGGGTCTAGTACACTGTACCGTGGGTGATATTTCGTACTTGAAAGTAGCTCGACGAAGCAGAACCTTGAAACTCAGTGCATGCGACATAGAAAGATCCACTCTGCCGTCATGTTGTGCGGCGCGCTGTTCAAATCGTCCTGATCGCGACAAGACAGGAACTTACCATCGATAAGCATTCCCAAGGTTATCATCGGGACTTACCGTAGGAAAGCATTCCCCAGGGTATCCATGAAGTAGCCCCGCGACCCTTCAGCTGTGGGTGGAGAACGTGCACCCTATCAAAGGGGAGGTAGATTGCGCCACCATACTAATATGGTGTTGCTAGAGATAATATAACTCTACCAAAAAGATGGCCGACCGTGGCCGTATTAGCGGAGCGGGCAAACGCGATCCAGAAAATAGTCATAGAGATCACTGGTATACACTCCGGATTGCGGACCCTGCGCACGCGTGCTATATCTGTGCTTGGAAGAGTCGTCACGAGCTCGCGCTGCCAACGCAAAGCGTTTGCGTACAACCTACAAAAAGTCCTTGTTATTTAGAACCTATTGTAGGGTCGAGTGTATCCATGTCGATTTCATTCACGCTTTTAGAGAACGAGAGCTGAAATTTTCTAGGATACCAAACTAAACTATATAAAACTATCTTTTCCGTTGCCTCTGCGACAAATATGAAATCCGAAAACGCCCAACGCAAGGTTTATTCAAAGACGTTCTGCAGGACAACACTTGGGAGGTCTGCAGAAGAAATTGAAATCGGAATGACCAATACGGTCACTGACAGGATGGGAAATGCAGGGCGTTTGTTCGGATGCTAGGCCACCATCACGCGCCCGTTGCCTTCCACCGTTCTTTGGCTGCGTGTGCACGCTCGAAGCTCACGAGACACTGGAGCATTATCGAAGACAGGAAGCTCGTTAGGGAGGCGGGACTGCCGAGGAAGCTGCCTTCCGTTCTCATTTTTCCAGTGACTACAGCAACAACACTGCGTATTACCTGTTCGCTGGTCGTGCCGCCGATGCTGGTGTGGGGCAAGAAGGTGGCCGTCGTAACCAATCAAAATATACCAGCGAGGCGAGAATCGCTGCACACAAAATAGCCAAGGCTATTTTGAGGACCGTATGAGACAAATTCTTGGACATGGGTGTACACTCTAGAGAACTGCAAGCTCACGGGCGCTGTCCCGGACGAAGACTAGAGCGCATACACCAAAAATAGAGCGGATAGCGTGTACGGCTGCAACAGAACGAATTTTTGTTTTACTCATCAAATGCTGACAGCTGTACGAAACACGCACTGCATTGCTCAAATCAGCACGCCCCTCTCTGCGAAACGCCTCTACGAGGGGAGAGAGAGGAGGGTAATCATAGAGGCATAGAGGCTTAGAGTTATAAACCGGAAGTTAGAAAGTGGCGTCCGGGCACCGGTTTTTGCTATGATGTACGCAAATGTGGCTACTTCTCACGTGACCTTACAAGAGCCGTGGCGTCAGATAGCAGCGCCAAAACCTGGTGGATACAAGTTGGTTCGGTGCGTGGTAGTCGTAATATGGTGCAGCTTTCCGACGCTTCCGAGTTTTCAATGTTTGGTTATAACGTGCTGCCATTGCAGGAGCTTGCATTTGATCGCATCATTTTTTTTTTGTGTGAGAAAAGCTAGCACTCGCTTAAGTGGCGTGCACGCGAACTGTCACAAAGGATTCGAACCAGTCATTTGGAATATAGTTCATTTCTGGCGTCCACAAAGCAGTTCTTTTACCCAGGAACTCGCAAGACAGTTAGATATGGAAGTGCTCAAATTACTGCATCTAACGTGATTGAGAAAATTGTATTAGTAGGCTCTTGACCTTGCCGATCGGTATGAAACATTAAACTAACCTCCAGTTTATGATCAGACTCTTCTTAGATGGTTGTCTCATCCATCATTTTAACATCTAGAAGCTTAAAAAAATTAAGCCGAAGCACAATACGTATAAGCAATTCTTGCAAATTTAAAAAATCACGGAAATGAAAAATGAACTGCACATTTTTCACTTTCGTAGGTGTCATTTCAGCCATAACTTTGTTCATAAACTGTTAATTGCATAAGTTGGTTGATGATATACTTGTTCTATTTACCCAGATAAAATAACTTGTATTGTGTTCGTGCCAATTGATCGAAGATGCAGTCTTGAAGAAAAACGTTGTCAACCATTCCTTTCAGTTTCTTCAATAGACTTCTTTCAAAAGTGTGTGCTGCCTATACTTCTTTTCCCCATAAACTGGCAAGGATCAAACTCTACAGCCTCCTCGAGCCTATCGGAGAGACTGAGTGAAGGCATGGGACAACACTCCGTAGAAGGAGACCACTCTGATTATATGTTGTCACATGCCTCTCTTCAACGTTCATATTGGCTCACTGGGACTTCGCCGTTTGCCAAATTATGGTGAAACGGAGTTATAGTTATACTCACTTTTACCACCATTGTCGCAAGTGCCCTAATTACCTGTTTTTTTCCTACTTTGGGAATGCACTCTAGGCATTTATTCGACAGGAATGTTATGTCAGCAATCAATGTGAACTCGTCTCAGTGCCGATTGGACTCGAGTGCTCCAGTAGCGTTCCTCCTGAACTGGGGTTCATTCGTGTATTACTCGCAAGAAAAAGCATGGGGAAAGTCAATTTTTTGCCTGATGGAGTTTTGCAGCAGATACGTATGACGGGACGGACGTTTTATCGTGGACGTGTTTGGCGCTGTTTTATACTGTGTGAATCGAGGGACAGCCAGGCTCTTTAAATCAACCGCAAAATTCGGTTTCTTAACCTATCGCGCTACGACTTTGAGCAGGGTGGCCCACAGGTGGTGCTTTTTTTTTTTTTTTTGTAAAATTTGCAACGAGCGAACTTACCCGAGGAAAAAGTAAAGCAAGAAAAAGACTTAGCTCCTATGGAAACGCAGCGAAGCCACCGGTCTTCAAAGAATACGCCGTCGTTTCGCACGGGAGACAAGACATGGCGCAGCGGTCGTGACGCCAACTGCCGCCAATGAACGAGCGAGAATCGCCGCCAACGAACAGATGATCTTTTCGACTCAAAAGCGGCGCGAGCTTTTTACAGCGGAGCTGTTAAGGTTAGTTGCCCCAGGATTGTGTCCCCCCGCAAAAAATGTCGACACAAAACTCTGGTTGCCGCCGTCGCTCATAGATGGCGGTAACTGTCCAGAGGCAGAAAAAGAGAAAGAAGGAAGTTGTGATTCTGTTGCGCTGAGGCCGCGAAAGACATTCGTCCTGAGAGCTTTGAAAAAGATACGAGGCCGAAATCAGAGGACTACTTCGAGTAAGCATATGATGGTGCAGAGGAGTGGACTTGAGACACCAGGAGAGGCTCTGAGAACCGGCTATTGAAGGTTGGAGCTAACTAGGCTTAACGAAGATTCGGCTATCACCTGGGAGAGCCTACCTCCTCTAATAATGGCAACTATGAAGGTCCAGGAGTTAAAAAAAGAGTTGAAATCACGCGGACTTTCTACCGTCGGCAGCAAGAGCGAACTTATGGAACGCTTTCAAGCTCTTACGGCAGCTCCTACTGCTACAACTGCCGATGTCCAGGGTAACACCCCCCCTGTGGAGAGCTTGGGCAGCCCTGTTGGAGTTGCCGAGGACAAGCTGGGCACGGGGAGCTCTGCGACAGCGGGCAAAGACGAAACTGAAGAGTATGTGGACTGCTTGGACGAGCTCTCAAGCCCCGGGACCATAGCCAACTTAAAACTGGTCCAAGATATACCTCTGCCGGCTGCTCAGAGTCTGCCAGTGAACACCGAAGCCCAGGATAGGCTGGATTTCCATCCTTTCATGAAATCTTCACAAGTCGAGCCGGTCCTGGACTATGGAAAGACTGCCAGGGTTACTGCAAATATATCTCAAAACAGTGGTGCAGATGAAAACCTGCTTTATTCCTGCGTGCCGTGCTCCATAGACATTGCTGTAGCAGAGAGAACACAGAAGGTCAATGACAGTAACATGTCATTGGCAAGCTGCATACAACGTGAGGTGCTACTTTTGGACACGGGGTCAACAGGAGAGAGCACAAGCTATAACGGCAATATCTGCACTTCCCTCGAGTGTTCGCAAAGACCGTATCAAGATAGGATTGAAAAGCTCGAAAATCAGATACACAAGTTGACCGATCGTCTGCAACAAGCTGACGCTGGCAGAATAACAAGTGAGCTGGTGGCACAGCGGTTGCAGAGGCTTGAAAAGAAGTGGCAAGAACAGGAACGAGAACGGGAAACACTGGTGAGTTTGATCACAAGATGTGAAGGACTGGAAGCAAGGCTCAACAGGCTACTGAATGCTCAGATAGAAGATCTGAATGTGGCGCCGCTGACAAATCCCTGCAACAACAAAGGGGTGTGCCCTATCTCGACACTCCCAATCAACAGACCATTGACGGACACTCTGGACAGAAAAAGCGTGGAAAATGCGCCTGACGGTAAACCACCCGTCGTCAAGCCAAGCGCAAACGACACGGGCCCAAAATGTGATTCTGACATCGCTCAACCAGCGTATAGTGAGAGAGGAAGAAGACGACAACCTCTCCCATTGGCTTCA